ATATTGACCTTAAAACGATCGAATTGGATTTTTATGTCCAAACATAGGCAGATCGGACATATTTTGACTGTTGTTCGTAAAATGTATTTCCACATTTCGCTTCGAAAAATTACTTGTTTAATAGAATAAAACGTCTAATCTGTAAATTTCTCTTTTTTTCTCTACAATAGGCTATCTAAACATAGTCTATCTACTCTGTATTTGAAACGATTTGTGAAAATATAAGAACCCTCCTCTTAACCTGGGACAGTGCAACACAAGAACGAACAATAAAAATCAGTTGAAAAGGATTAACTCATCAAATGGATACAAACAGAAATACATCTAACAATAACAAGAAGTGGACGTATTCATTATTAGGTTAAATCCTAACGATCTAACTGCCTGTCGATATCTGTATTTTGGCATAGCACAAGTCATGTCTTCTTTGACTGTTCATGACGTTAAAATACTTAATCCCTGGGATTTGTTTGAATACATCACTAATGCATAATTTTTAAGATTGTTAATTGATTTTGGCTTACAACTAGCTTTCAGTAATTGCGACTACTCTCAAATCGTAATTTCGTGTTAATTGGATCTGTTGACACAATTTATATTGCATTTCGATAATTTATTGTTTACTTATTTTTGTTTATATCTCAGCTCACTATTTTTTATATGTTCCACCTTTGATAAGTATTTAATATGACTATAAATTTTCATTTCGAAACTCGTACTCCTAGAAACGAAATTATTTTACAACTCCTTCGGTACTTCTAATAAACAAATCTATTAATTTTTTAAGATATGTTTACCTCCATACTCCTTACAACAAAATTATTATCTCAAGATTTACCTGTGCACGTTGTTTATTTTACGTCATTTTGTCCCAAGTCAGAGTTGTTTTTATTGACTCTCTTCCTACACCATTTTGTACTCACCTGTAACGTCTATGTTTTATAGGCACCTTTATTAATATTGTGTCATATATCAAAAAGTAGGATCACAAAAATACTGAACTCTGAGGATAATTAAAAACGGAAAGTCCCTAATCAAATGGCAAAATCAAAACTTATTTGTTCAATAAAATTGAGAATATAAATTGGGAATGTGTCAAAGAGACAACAACCCGACCATAGAGCAGACAACAGCCGAAGGCCACCAATGGGTCTTCAATGCAGCGAGAAACTCCCGCACCCAGAGGCGTCCTTCAGCTGGCCCCTAAACAAATATGTATACTAGTTCAGTGATAATGGACGTCATACTAAACTCCAAATTATACACAAGAAACTAAAATTAAAAATGATACAAGACTAACAACGACCAGAGGCTCCTGACTTGGGACAGGCGCAAAAATGCGGCGGGGTTAAACATGTTTTTTGAGATCTCAACCCTCCCCCTATACCTCTAGCCAATGTAGAAAAAACAAACGTAAAACAGTACGCACAGTAAAACTCAGTTGAAGAGAAGTCCGAGTCCGATGTCAGAATAGGAAACAAAAGAAAATAAACAAAATGACAATAATACATAAATAACAACAGACTACTAGCAGTCACTCACATGCCAGCTCCAGACCTCAATTAAACTGATTGAAAGATTATGTCTTCACCATATGAATATCAGGCACAATCCCTCCTGTTAGGGGTTTAGTTTTATACCATCATAAAATATATGAGAAGAACATAACCCGTGTCATGCCAACAACTGGTTTAAGAATAAATATGTATAATTCCGATGCAAAGACCCTATAAGTGAATCAATATTAAAGCCAAAATATGCAATCCTTAATAACCTGACAACAGTATCATAACTATATCCCTTTTTAATAAGTCTGTTTAAAGGTTTTGTTAGCTTTTGAGGTGAATACTGACATTTTTGTGCTTTGTAAAGAATATTACCATAAAAGATTGGATGTGAAATACCCGAACGTATAAGATGTCTGCATGTTGAGTTATATTTACGAATGATGTCCTTATACCGATGACTAGTTTATGATATCGAAAACCCTGGTGTAATAATTTTTCAGTAATATATAAATTTCTCTCGCTAAAATCTATTACGTTGTTACACGAGCGAATCGTACAAGTTGAGATATATAAACACCATAAGATGGTGACAAGGGAACGTCACCATCTAAAAATGGATACTTAACGATAGGAAATGAAAAATCATCTCTTTTATCATAAATGTTTGTATTAAGCTTCCCGTTAATGATATAGATATCAAAATCGAGGAAAGGACAGTGGTCATTGTTAGTATTAGCTTTTGTTTGTACCTGTCCTAAGTCAGGAACATGATGTTCAGTGGTAGTAGATTGTTGATATGGTTCTCAAATGTTTTTTGTATCTCGCTTTTTTATTTAGATTAGACCGTTGGTTTTCCCGTTTGAATGGTTTTACACAAGTAATTTTTGGGGGCCTTTTATGGCTTGTTGAACTGTGTGAGCCAAGGCTCCGTGTTGAAGACTATACTTTGACCTATAATGGTTTACTTTTACAAATTATGACTTGGATGGAGAGTTGTCTCATTGGCACTAATACCACATCTTATATCTATTAACTGAGGATAATGCGTTAACTATTTAAAGAGCATAACCTCTCGCGTTGACAGAACAATCATCACCCACTATGCATGTATGACCCACCAAGCGAATTCACAGGACTTATGTGGTATGTTACATTTTAAGTCATCGATGACGGAACATTCTTCATTTTTCGGACATTCTTCTTTATGACTCTGTTGGCAGAGTTTTAATTTGCGTTAAAAAAAAAACCGGTAACGGTAAATTAAATCAAGTAATGAATATACACAGTAATAAAAAAGTAGTTCTCACAATAAAAATATAATTTAACCTTGAAAACTTAATTCACACACTACATACATGAATATGATATAGTATTTGAAATCATCCTAATAATCATGATGACATTATATGAATTTTACTTTACTTTTACTTTTTTTTTTATCTTTTCAGGTCACAAGATTAGTGTGTTCAATTTTAACTGCATTATCTCTTTTCCTGTTTAACCGTATCGTGCGTACCTAATATTCAAAAAGATAAATAATTTGATATGTTATTTTTCTGATTATATTGTTTTAAACAAATATAACACCGTTGCCATTTTATTTTGTTTTGACAATATTACAATTTCCAGTTGCATGGTTACTAAAGATAAAGTGAAGGGTTATCCTCTTAAAAACCTTAATGATTATATGTTTAATGTACAGTTACTACACATTAATTGATCAAGTAACTATAAAAATATATTATGTGTCTTCTTCATTATTGTTTGTTATCATTTTCATTTGTTTTATTGGCGTAACTATCATGCTCACAATTTATTGGTTAATTAAATTAAAGATTATCGCATTCCTGACTTGGTACAGACATCTGTTGTCAAGCTAAAATGACAACTTCAATCGTTTGATAAGTTAAGCGATATTTAAATGTTATTTCTAAAATAATCACTATAAACATTTGTGTATAACAATCTGAAGCTAGGAATGAAATGTCCTCCTGCACAAAGCGGTGTAACTCTTTCATCTGTTTGTGATGTGGAACCGACTGTCTACAATAATCTAATAATAAATGAATACTACAAGTCGAACCGTTTTATACTTTCATTCATGTGATAAATAGTTTAACAGGGCAACATTTAATCTTTGTGTCAATTTTGTGCTTTAATAAAAATAAAATGTCATCTCATTGTTTTGACTCACCAAATTTCCTAACAGAAATTACGTTATAAACATCTGTTAATATGTATTTCAACAAAGATAGGTCTGTTCTGTTCACCATGGCCATACCAGGCCATGCTTCTGTACCGTACGAGTATTCACACGAGTCTGAATATATTAGGACCTTTTTTAACAAAAAAGAAAATAATCTAGCAGTATCTTTTTACCTTAATTTACGCTTAATAGATGATGTTCTTTCACCAAATAATTCATTAATTTGATGAATTTATTGAACTTATCCCATTAAATTTTAGATAAAGGATACAAATGAGTGGCGAAAGATACAAGAGGGACATTCAAACTCATATATCAAAACAAAACGTTAAGACTAATTGATGATTTCTTATCCCAATTGTGAACTTTCAAATTCTATGTTGCAACAGTAAAGCAGCGCCTGCATATGGAGTATATATTATCTAGTTGATATGATATTCCAGGGCTTGTATTTCTTATCACGATTTTATTGATAGAGGGTTGCTGTTCACATCGAAGCTATTACATTGAGAGTTCCAAGTGGTAAAGTTGAAATCATCACTTTGTAAATTTCACAGACACCAACACGAGTTAGTTAACTGTTATGGAATGTCCGTTTTACAGATGTCCGCGGATATGTACCAATTGTAGTAATTACAATCCTGTCCCGTTTTCCCCAATATGAAATACCGGATATTTACCGGGTTTGTAATAACAGGAGCAACACGACGGGTGCCACATGTGGAGCAGGATCTGCTTACCCTTCCTGAGCACCTGAGTTAACCCCCTGTTTTTTAGGGGTTCCTGTTGCTAAGTCATTAGTTTTCTATGTTAATTTATGTTTTGTGTACTGTTGTTTGTCTGTTTATCTGTTGGTCGTTTTTCTGTTTTAATACATGTCGTTGTCTGTTTATTTTCTACTTATGAATATGAATGTCCCTTTGGTATCTTTCGCTTCTCCTCTACAAAAGGCCCTGAAATGACAAATGTAAAACAATTCAAAAAAGAAAACCAACGGTCTGGAAAAAAAGTATTACAATACTACCGAACTCCATGGCAATTTAAAAAAGAGAGAATTCCAAAAAAATTCTGACAAAATCAAACGCTATCAATGTCCGGACCCAGTGAAAAACAATATATTCCTGACTTGGTAACGTAATTTTTAGAAGGAAATGGTAGCCTGAACCTAGGTTTAAAGCTAATGTACAAAACACTTAAAGAAGAATTGATAGGATATATAGCAACACACGAAACCCATTGAATTTCAGGCTCCTGACTTTGGACAGGCAAATATATAATGTTGCGGGTTAAAACAAACATATTATTTATTGTCTAATGGATTAAATGCACATTTCTTCATACTATAATTTCAAATATGAATAAAAAGTTTATATTTTACTGTTATGAATGTTTTCTTTAATCCCACTGATAATATTCGGCAACCTCTTCTGGCCAATGTACTTTTCGTAGGTTCTGTACATCGAACTGTTCAATATCGAGTAGAATTTCGTAAACATGGAGCTTGACTCTGTTGATATAATCATCTCTGTCAATTTTGAAATATCTAACATTTATATCACGATTTTGTTCTAATTCAAATATCAATGATCTGACAAAATCTGCTGAACTTCTCTCGCTTATGGCAATTATTCCAATGCGAGTTGTTTTCTCTTTACATTCGGTATCTGACCTAACCTTATGGAATATTTTCTCCCTACAACCATTATACACCCTATTATTATATCGGTTTTGAAAGTTGCAAGTTTTAAATGTCAACTGGTACCTGCGATTAGTTTCCCAACTGTGGATCTTCTTCTCGATATTGTGTGCGTTGTCAGCTTGTATTTTCTTAAATTCCCACTCAATGTCTTCAATTTTTGCCTTTAGATCATTGTCAGCTTCCCTTTTACAACCTGGTTTTATGTTGTATCTATAAATCATTTGTTTCTTTCTTTTGGGATTCCGAACAAACACTAATTCACCTATAATTTTTACAACGACATCTAGTTTGTTCCGAAGAGGAAGGCTATCACAAATTACTTGTTGTTGAGCTTTTATTGTGATATAGATAGTTGTATTGTCAGCTACTGGGCTAAACTGTAATACGCTCTTATGTGCAATTTGAGTATAGTCATTATTTTGTAAACAATGCCATTCACTTTCCTTATTTGCATGTTCAATTCTTTCCTCACCACACGCGTGCACTACAAACCCAATCCTTTTTTGCACTGATAAGTCCTGATGTCGAGTAGCCTTTACATATAAGGTTTCATTTGAATCATTTTCTACCAATACCATAGCTGAAACAGTCGGCTAGTTGTATGCTCTGAAATCTATTGTATAAGTGACAAGACATAAACAATATATCATAAAGTTTATATTAAGTATTGTGCAGCATATTTCTCATTTGTTGAAAGGTGAAAGGTGATATAGTGTATTCGTATTTTTTCTTAATAATCTTGTGAAACCCCTCACTTTTACTCTAACAATCAACATAACCGGCGATAAGGTCTTACATAGTATTACGTTATATTAGTTTCCAATGATACGATTTGTGTATGAAAATAAAAAGATGACATATAATTGTCAATGAGATAACTCTCTACCAGATGAGATGAAAGTTAACAGCTTACCGTATTATTTATCGTACTTTAGCCCACCCTATACCAATCGTTTCATGCGCTCTGTAGTCTATTATCACAGGTTTGTGAAAAATAATATTAGAAATTGAATTGATACATTTTTTTTAGAAATTGAAACCAATATAATTGATTTAAATCTGAAATATAGAAATAAGAATCCAAACATACAACAATAAAACATTGATAAGAAAGTAACAAAACATATAACTAATTTAAAAACTTTAAAAAAACGGAACAAATTAACTGTGATTCAACATAGTAAAAGAGGGGCGAAAGATACCAGAAGGATATTCAAAATCATAGACCGAAAACAAACCGACAACGCCATTGCTAAAAAGAAAAAGACAAACAGACAAATAATAGTACACAAGACACAACACATGTGTAATTTGTCAACATTGTTTTATATTAATATTGATAAAGTTAACTTTTCACAATAGTTCCGGCTAATTTACATTTTTGTATTGCATTCATTGCTAATTTTACCTGGTGTTGAAAATCCGTAATTTTTCTAACAATTCAAAATAAAATATTATGAACAAAAGTTACTTACAAAATCAAACTTACTTCATACGTTGACATATAGTCGCTAATATCCACGTAATTTGATGTCAGTTGAATGGTCGTCGTAATTTCAATTACACTCCTTTTTTTAATTCTAAACATGCATTACAATATGAGAACAGATATTTATGACAGTTATAATTATTTAAATTCTTTTCTTATTAATAATTGGCGCGAATCAACCTTCGTATTTGCAAACCTTCATAAATAAACATATTATACTTGTCTGTAATCCAAGTAATTGATCTCTTGTTTTTGTAATTTGACGACACGCGATCTATTTTGAAGGTCTTTAAATGCAAATATTTGTACTTTTTATTCAAATATCCTGTAATTTCGATTTTGTTGAACGCTTTATGAGGTAGTATATTATGTAAATGTTCTATAAAACATTTAAATTCAAAAGACAATTGATGAAGGCATAACATTTCTCACGGCTACTCTAAACAAGTTGTTGAACTGATACTTTTGTGAGAGTACCACATATGCTATAGTATAGTCTTGAATTATATATTCTAGGTTATGAAGATGTGCACCTTTTTATTTCATGTTATGTTATATTTGTATGTTTTTAACTGATCAATTGTGAACTTTGTTAATGCATCGTTGAACATGGAAATATAGACTATTAAATCACCTTTGTATTAAGTAAATGCTTTAATTTTGAACAACAGAAAAATAGTTTAAGTTAGAGCCACAATGGATAAACGTTCATTCAAAAAATCACCTATCCATTGTTTTTATAATACGTATATCTACGTCTACTTTGTTATGCGCGTTGTCAATTGCCTGGCATGATCCTTGATTAAATTCATCAGTATTTTGAAGTTGTGTTTCAGATTAATGGATAAAGGCTCACGATATTTCGGGCCTTTCGCAGAGTAGTGTTATTCACAATGTCAAGGTCGCCAGTACTAACATGGCAATCCGGACTTTATATCAATGTAAATCTAGCACAGATGCAATCAGGAGGTTTTGACTTGTAGTCGTCAGCATTTACATCCTAGAATAGATTTTGTAATTGAAAATTCAAACATTTGTCAAATATGTGAACCGTCTGGTGTATAAAAACAAAAGTGCCTACACAATTCCGAACAACAACTATAAACGTTCTATTTTGCCTAGGGAGGGTGAAAATATTTTCTGATACATACAAGAAATTTCTTAAAGAAGTACATATTCAAAAATACTAAGCTGCATATAGTCTAAGGATGAATAACAGTATAAGCATCTAGGTAGAAGAAACAAAACATAGTTATGTCGAAAATTAAGATTAGACATTTCAAAAAACAGATTTGCCAATACCAAACTCTGAGGACAATTCAAAACGGAATGAATCTAACCAAATGGCAAACTCAAAAACCCCAAACACATCAAACGAATGGTTAACAAGTGTCATCTTCCTGACTTGGTACAGGTATTTTCTTATGCAGTAAATGGTGGGTTAAACCTGTTTTTTTTTAGCTAGCTTAACCTCCCACTTAATTATATGACAGTCGAATTAAATTCCAAACAGGTAAAAACTTATTGATAATTAATCAAATATCTCGTTTGAAGTAAATATGTCAACAAAATGTCTCAACTTATTTCTCTCGAATTTTATTTTTTTCTTTGGCAAGTTCCCCCGCTAATATTGACGTTTAAAAACGCACTTTATTGGCTTTTGCTTTTGTGTCGTATGCATGTAAACGAAAGAAAAACCTTGTTTATTGTACAAAGTATTTAATAGAAACATGTTTAGTTTTTAAATAGTTTAAACATTACTTCGAAATTGTTAACTGAAAGGCTGTTATACATATTTTCGTTAATCCATTGTATAATATTCGGCAACTTCTATTGGCCAATGTAATGTTCGTTGTTTCTGCACATCGAAATTTCTTATGTTGAGTTGAATTTCGTAAACATGATAATTGAATTCTTCAATATAATTATCTTGATGTATTTCGCAATACCTCACATTTATACCTGGATTTTGCTCTAATTCGGATATCAGGGATCTCATAAAGTCTTTAGAATTTTGCTCGCTGATTGCAATTATGCCAATGCGTGATATTGTTTCGTTATGTCCAGTAACTGGCCTGACCCTATAGGATATTTTCTTTCTACAACCATTATATTCCCCATTGTCAGTAACTGGCCTGACCTTATCGGATGTTTTTTTCCTACAACCATGTAATTTCCCATTGTCATGTCGTTCTTGAGGTTTGCAAGTTTCTATAGTAAATTGGTACATTCGTTTGGTGTCCCAATAGTTTGGCCGCAGTTTGGTATTGTGTCCTCTTTCCGCTTGAATTTGTCTTTCCCTGTAAAGGTGATCATCTCTAGCCTTTGAACTATTATCAACTTCCCTTTTTGATTCTACTCCAATTGTGTATCTCCCTAAAACTTTTTCTTTCTTTTTTACAATTTCAACACACAATAGTTCATCTTCAGACTTCACTATAACTTGCTCTTTTTCCCGAATAGGAAAGGCATTGCAAACTGTTTGTGTTTTAGTTATCATTGTAACATGATATGTTCTTTTGTCAGCCACTGGACTAAGCTTTAGTTTTTCCGTAGGCAAAACTTGGGTAAAGCCATTATCTTTTGCCCATTGCCATTCATTTTCGTTTTCGGTAGGTATACCTTCCTTTGCACTACAATCTTCATGTTTGATTCCAATACGTTTACCAACGGTCAGTTCCTTATTTCCAATTACCTTGACATATACAATTTCCTTCGATTCATTTAGAATGAATACCATATTTGCATCTGGCAGTCAGTTTTACTCACTGAAATAATGACTTTTGTTTAAATGACAAATCACAAGCAGTATATCCGAAAATAATAATTAAGGATTTTGAAGCATATTCAATTCATAAGTTACGTAAACAATAAATTTACGTATTGTAACATTTCTGAAAAATCATGACATCCATTCCATATTCTTAAAAACAAAAGCGAGAATAAAAGCCTCGATTTTTAAACAGTATGGTCGACTTTGCAATTGACCAGAAAAGGGTATTCAAATATATGCAAGAATTATATGAAATCCGTCATCAATATATAACTTGTGTTAAGCCAACGTTGTTAATGAGAAAAGGGTTTCAACTGTGCGGAGTAAGTTTATTTCCAATTGACAACGATGAATAAAGACATAATGAAGATGTGTTCAACCATGTGGCCTTCAACAATGAAGAAAACACACAAGGTGTACGTGCCTCGGTAAGGCATAATGTGAAACAATTCAAAAGAGAAATCCAACAAATTAAATTCTACCACATTATTAAAAAAAAAGAACTATTGCAGAAAGCAACCAAAGACAATCATGGTTCGCGTGAACATTTGCGTTATCATTAAACCGTTATTATACGTTTTCAAACTAGACGGATGAGAAAATTGTGTATTCTCCTTTGTAATAACAAAACATCTTCATGCAAAAACATCTTCTGGGCTAGTTCACAAAATTCATAGTTCCGAATTTTATCAAAATTAAACAAAATAATAAAATTGAAAAGTAAAAACAACTTAAACACATTAATGTTTAGAATAATTCACTAAATATTATCGAAGGTAAATACATGATCAAACTTACCGATATTTTGCTAAAACCTAGCAATTTAGTCTTAGGTAGACAGCATGTCTCCTTATTTAAAATTATTAACATGTGTTTGATAATATCTTCAACACAAATTTAATAATTGTTATGATTCTATTATTTAAAATTCTTTTCTTATTTCAAACTGGTACGGTATAATCAATCCTAATTGTTTAATTGTTAATCTTCACGAATCGATATATTACAATTATAAAATTCACAGTGCAATCAGTATTATAGATCTCTTCTTTGTAAATTGGCAATAAGCGATCTATTTTGAGGGTCTTTATAAAAGTTTTTTTTTAACAAACCTTTGTATAAAGTTTGCTTCATATTTATGTATTGCTGCCAAATAATTATAAATTACTAATAGTTTGATATTGATATTATCCAAGCGCTATAAGTACAATGAGTGCATGATAGGAACACGTGTTTTCTTTGTTTTTCAAGTAAACCGGAAGATGGTTCGGGTCAAACTTATCAACGTCGGTTTATTCATTATGACGTCGATGATATGTCTGGGTCAAAGTTATTAAGGCAGGGTCAACGTATTTGACGTCACAAAGCCGTGATATGCCATTTTATTAAGAGTTGAGCAGAGTGATAAAGACAGCGGGACGACCGATAAGTTCACATTAGCCAGGTTTAATCCACCTTTTTCCATATATGTACCAAGTCAGGAATATGACAGTTTTTCCATTCGTTTGAGTTTTTGATTGTGCCATTTGATAAGGGACTTTCCGTTTTGAATTTTCCTTGGAGTTTGGTATTTTTGTTCTTTGACTTTTTTCTCATATATCAATGCAAACTTGAGATTAAGGTATTACCGAAAAAGTAGGTTCTGGTTCATATCTTGAATGTTCCTCTATATTGACACGTATGGACGTCTCCAAACTCATTATATGACAAACGAAATGATTTCTACTTTCCAGTTGACAATTTCCCGCTTCCCAGCAGTAACATTCCTTAGCTTCATCGTATGACGTTTTGATATCTCAGTTAATACGTAACGCTCGTGCTTCATTTCTTGATTTATAATATAAATGTTACGGTTGGAGGAGGTTTTTTCAACACAATTAGCATTCCCATGTATAACAACTGCGCTCCTATACTTGCCGACTTTTTCTTCTACTCATATTAGGAAGACTTCATCGTGAGATACTAAGGGGAAATTAACGGAAGCTAGCACTATATTTTAACATCACGTTCCGCTATAAAGACGATGTCCTCTCACATACTTATGCCAAGTTTGGTGACTATTTAGACCCCTTCTATTTTAACTAACTTGACATAAAGCATACACCAGATACAGTTTTTTTCGGCCTCATACTTTCATCTATATTTAGAAGTTGACAATGCGAGTTGATTGAGAACAAAACTTACGACAAAAGAGATAATTTCATCTTCCCAATTTGTGAACTTTCTAGGCCTTTTAATAAATATCAAAGCATCATAGAGATACTTGATACGATAATTGAAACGTTGTATTTCCTGTCATGATTTCCTTCAACGAGAATTGCTAAGCAAATGAAATTACTGAACCAAGGTGTTCTAGTGGTGAATTTCAAGACATTATACGGATGCCATCACGAGTTTGTTGAATGGTATGAAATATCAATTTCAAAGATGCCGCCGAAAATGTTTCAATTGTTTTCCCGTTCTCGTTTTCCTTAAATGTTACATCCCCTTATTAGACCTATTACCAAGTTTGTACTTATATGAGATCTCTCCGATTTGTAGTGTGGTTCTGGTGCTAAGTCTTCCGTTTTCTATGTCTTTTGTATACTATTGTTTTACCAAGGCGTTGTAAGTTTGAAGTCCACTTATGAGTTTGCATATCTCTTTGATATCTTCCGTCTCTCTTTATCACTATAGAGACTTTGTTACCAGGTGAGTCTCCCAACACAAATAGTGCTCAAACATTGTGTTTTGGAAGAAAGAGTGAAATTGACACGGACTACATTATTATCACGGTTACCATCAGGAATTTGTTGACCGATACAATGTGTCTTAACCCATGGTTGTGCAGTCTTTGGTCTTAGATACCAGCAAAATCGTCTGATCTATAATTTTACCGATTGTTTTCTATTCCCAATTGTGACATTTTGAATGAGTGTGAAACAAACCAAAAGCATGAAACGAACCAAAATCCAGGAGTGAGGTTCGAAAGGAATGCATGGTTTGGGGCCATATGGAACTTTAAATTAAGCGTTTTCTGAAGTACCACTGATTTACATAAAATGTGGAATAAATATTCCATTGATAAGGCACTAGTGTTTATTATTAAAGATATGTCGAATTAAACAGTCAAAAAAAATACTGGGTTATTTTGTTTGAAATAGAAAAATACACTCAAAATACTGACTATTTGTTTTTATAGTGATTAAAATTAAAACACAATGTTGACAGCTGTACCCCATTTTTGACATTTTTACCTATAATGTCTGTTTGTTTTGCTAACACTTTGTTGTCAATATTATAGAATTCTATGCGACTGTCATACAAGTGAGAGGTTTAGCTAGCTATAAAACAAGGTTTAATCCCCCATTTTCTACATAATGAAATGCCCTATGCAAAGTCAGGAATATGACAGTTGTTTTCCATCGTTTGATGTTTTTGAGCTTTTGATTTTGCCATCTGATAACAATTTTCCATTTTTAATTTTTTCTTGGAGTTCGGTATTTTTGTTTTTTTAATTTTGACTGGTAAATGGTTAGTAATGATTTAGAGTAAAACTGTTGCCTAAAAATATATTCAATATGAAAACGTACTTTGTTGCTACATATTCATTTAAAAAAAAACATTTTTTGGTGATACATTTGCTAATTGTTCATTAAATTTAGTCTGCCTAGAGCATATCTTATTTCTTTAATTGTTCTCAGTGTTTAGAAAGTTTGAATAACAAGAGTGTCACTATTTTTTTGAGAAAATTCAAACTTTTAAGATTGCTTCGACAAAATTTATACAAATTCATGCAAAAACGACGCAATTTTAGAATCTTGTGACTTTATTGCAGATGAACGAATGACATTCAAATCTTTATATTTCACACACTATGTAGCATTTTCTAAAAGATCGATATTTGTTTAACGTTTTGTAGTAAATAATTCGTCATTTTTAGAGTTTTGAATGCGATTACTATATGCAAAGATTTCCTGATAACTATTAATAAGAAGTGGTAAGAATTTGTTTTATACTATTACTATTAATCATACATTTAATATTAATATAAACAATACACAAATGTTGCTTATTTTTTTTAAATACTGAGAATAATTTGTCATAAGATGAAATTGAACCAAATAAATTATAGGTAAAAGGCATTTTGAAATAAAAACTGTTTTGGATACAAAGACATTACAAAATTCGAGGAAAATTGTCGATACATTTAGAGCTTTTAACATAAGAAATAGTTAGAAGAATGAAAAGAGACAAGAAAGTTAATATTTCGTTAGTAATAACTCTTCAAAGATACCAGACTTAAAAATTTTCGCATTCCTCTACATAACACGCATCGGTGGCACTCAGACTAAAACGCTAAAAGATACCAGTTTCACATATTAGTTTTCAGATTCCCACCTATGACATGTTTGGTAATGGTGGACTGTTTTGAACCATTGCTTTTGTTTTCGGTATATTTTTTGCATTATACCGTACTCAATTTCCATAGATTGATTTTGTCGTTTAAGATCCTTTTTTTGAATATTGTGGGTAGATTTCTGCTCGGAGATACTTATTTGTCCTCCCAATGTGATAATTGTCTACTTTCACACTATTGTCAGTTTCCCTTTCAGATTCTAGT